GGGGGGGTGGGGGGCTGTTAACATGACGTAATGCTCCAGTTTCTCCCGGTGACTCCGAGCCTTCGTCCCGCTCCTCCTTCTTCTTCTACTTAATTTCTTCTTCTCTCGCCCTCTGCGTCCTCCCGGCCTCACACCACAATCTTTGTACTCATAATGCTATTTGGGGAAAGTACACACATCAAACTATAGCTCAAGTACCAAAGGCAAGAGCTGTCTTAACTATAAGGCGTCATAACTGATCACCTGAGTGGGCAAAAACCTGGGGCACGGGGCATTAACCCCAGTTCTTCACATCTCCTCAGAAATAAACTGTATATACAATGTCGGTAATATAGTGACAGTGGCAGTCAGATGTGACATTTATGGCCAAGCGCTGGACACAGCAGCTTGTCACCGCCTTCAAAACAGACAGTGCACACACACCTGATACTTCAACCTGGTCATGGAGGTGAACTGGTCTAATCGTTCCCGGTTAGATTTCATTTCTGTGTTCTGAAAAGTCATTGGGCTCTACAGAGAACAGCACAGGACAACTTGAAAAAAAAGAATAACACCACACACTAAGAAAGAAGCCGATAGAAGAGGACACCGTGTTTCAGGAGACAAGGCCACAGAGCCAAGTGGAGTGACCTGACCCCCTGACCTCAGCCAGTCAGAACGTCTCAAAGTGGTCTCACTTTAATCGACACCCGTTTACAAGGTTGTGTTTAGCCATAATCTCCTGCAGTTTGTAAACACTAGTTACAACTCTAATGCGAATTAAGTCCTAATGTGGATTTAAAAAAATGTCACGTTTATTTTTCTGCTGTGTTTGCAAATAAAGTTACATCCAGCCGGTCCTGACAACATTTCTGAACCTTGCCACATTTCTAGAAAGAGGAAGAAAAGACAAAGAATCTGATTGGCTGAAAGCAGAAGTGACGTAATCTGATAAACTTAGTTTCAGCTGAAAACAAACTGATCAGAAATATCACATCAGATTAATGCGGCAGACAGGACGAGGACATAACAAGAGAAGAAGAAACAGTGTAATAGAAAAGATGTTATTGCAAGTTCAGAAGTCGGAGCTGAGGGGGAGAGTTAAATCATTTTCATGTACTTGATACGAGTTTACGTATATAGCTTGGATATTATTTTCTTGGAATCTGTAATTTTCATAATCTCTTATCAACTTATACAATACAAGACTATTTACAGGACCCATATTACACAAAGTAAAATGTTCAAAATGGGTTTTACCGACACAGACATCTGCTCACAATGCACTCTAGGTTGTACCGACAGTTACTTTCATGCTACTTGGACCTGCCAACCAGTTCCTTCCCTCTGGATGACAGAGAAACTCTCCAACATGATGTAGAATCCCTCCTTCTCCATCACTTTGCTTACTCAGTAATATCATAGAAATCGACCACCTACCAATCAAATATAAAAACACACTCCTCATTTCTCTAGCTACTACCAAGAAAACAATCTTTCAAAACTGGAAATAAAAAATAAAAATCACTACACATAAACCACTGGACCAACCTTCTGACAGAAAATGGGATCCACTCACAAGAACAGTTTATCAGCTTTTTATGACACATGGAACCATTTTTAACACATTTCAACTTGAACCAAACACCTGGGGCTGAGGCCATGCACATTCCCACCAACCTCTAGAAATGGAACAAGCTGATTTTATTGGTAGTACGGTTATCATCATTGTTATTGGTAGTTTATTTACTTTCCCTCCTTTTCCCTTTCTTGCATTTCATAGACTGCATAAGTTGGAAATACCCACACTTCACAGCCTCACACACCACGATCTTGTAAAACACTCTACATCTTTTTGGAAAGTCTCGTATCCGTTGTCTTGTCTGCCATGTCCGGACTTGTTTTGTGTTACTTTGTTTCAATAAAAAAAAGAAACAGTGTAATTTGAGACAGCTGCTGACATCATCAGTGATGTCACTATAACCAGGAAGTCTGAGTCAGAGTTACAGTATGAGTGATGAAGATGAGGATGACCACACTGAGTAGAGATGATGATGCAAATGAAGAAAGTGACGATGAAGAGAGGTTTTGAATCAGATGTGGAGAGTAACTAAGTACATTTAACCAAGTGCTGTTACTTAAGATCAAATTTAAGGTCTTTGTACTTTGAGTATTTCCCTGAGACCAACACCAATCAGGACAGAGTCTCAGGGATTTACTAACAGATGGACCAAAGACAAAGCCCAAGTTTTAGTCGCACATCATCAAGTCATCAGTGACAGATGTGTTGAACCTTCCCTTTGCTCCTGTTCTGGAACCACAAACCACAGTGTCCTGTGCTAAAGGACGCTTCAGCCCCAGGAATGTTCCTGGATATTAGCTGTTGAGAAATTAAAGTTCCTGGAGGTTTTGGGGGGAAAGCCTGTTGTGAGTGGTATTTCATCACAGGAAGTAAATGTGGCACTGATCAGGATGTACTACATGATGTGCCAGAGCCACCTCAGTGCATCACTTGCCACCTGTGTGAAATCCCACTGAGCGAACACACGCATCCTGCTTCCTCTGAAATTCAGATGAGTTTGGATTAACACTGAAGTAAACATTAACTCCCATCAGGAGTGTGTGTGTGTGTGTGTGTGGTGGGGTGGAGGGAGATGGCCAAACAACTTTGCATTGTGGGATACTTACAGCTCAATTACCAGGATGTAACATCTCTCTGTTGTCCCAGAGTCCCTGAACTACACCCCAGGTGCTAGACATTGAAATGAACTCTGAACCGCCCTGTAAACCCGTCGTCCAATCACAGCTTGGCAGAGGAAACCCTAAAGCAGCCCAGTACAAACTGTGTGCAGACTGGTTCTGGTTTGCACCAGAACCAGTCTGCACACAGTTTGTACTGGTTCTGGTGCAAACCAACACCCATTCATTTACTCAGCCTCTGTACAGCAGGTGTGAAGGCTTGTCACCCGTTTCCATGATCTGCTCCTTCCTGTCGTAGGAAAATACTTTCACTGCACTACATAAGTGACAGCTACAGTTTGTAGTAATATCTTACTGAAAACAGCATTTTTTGAACTATAACACAGTAATATCCTAAACCTACATGCTAAACTTTAAATGCTGCTGATGCATGAACACAGGAGTCATTAACACAACATCTGAACCTTCATAGTACTTTGGTGTCTGTAATTGTTTTGCGTCTTTCTCATATTTTTGTTGATCTTTGTAGTTGTGTTGTTGTCTTTGGAGTTATTTTTTTTGACTAGGTAATTTTGCATCTTTGCAGTAGCTGTGTCTGTTGTAGTATTTTCAAGCCATTTGATTGACTTCCCAAAAACAAATGTTACAGGTCACCTCAAACAGAGGCTCTGGCCCAGGTCACCTCAAACAGAGGCTCTGGCCCAGGCTGCATTACTACTTTTCCTTCACAAAACAATGAAAATACTTGTTCCACTGGCGCCACAGGCAGAGCCAGGGGGTGGCCAGGGTGGCACTGGCCACCCCCAGAATCTGATTGGCCACTCCTGCCAGAGTCAAATATGATTGTTGTCATTACTGATGAATGAAAAATGAAAAACAATGATCAATTGTCTTAAATACAACTACTGTTTTTTGGTGCTTTATAGTTTTATTTTACATCATGCACACAGCATATTTGCATTTAATTCTCCGACTGTGTTGTTGTGGAGTACTTGGCACGATTCACCTCTGTGGGCGGAGACACACCACTGGGCAGCAGCGATGTGCCAGGCCGGGAGTAAAGGAGCAAACCCAAAGCTAGCAGAAGAAAGCACCATGTGTGTCTCATGTTTACACAAATTAAACAATTTGATCATTAAAAATATCTGGTTTATTATTTCAAAGAACTGGGCGTTGTATTTACCTTTTACATGTATTTCAAATGTGCCACCCCTCTTCGAGTCTGTGCCCAAAGTGCCCCCCCTGTCCAAAAAGTTCTAGATCCGCCCCTGACCACGACTACAGTAAGTGGCGACAGTATGAATCCGTTTAGATGACCCCCAGCCAGTTACCTGCTAACGCCAGCCACCTCACTTCTTTCACCTCCCCGTTTCCCCTCCTCTTCTGTCTCCTCTCATCCTCTTTCATCACGTTATACACTTCACTTAAAGCAGAAATGAGTTCAGACAAATTCCAGTAAACCAATAAAGCAAGTGCCTGCAGGTCCCTGTTGATGTCTCTGTCAGCAGATTCCTTTCAGCTCATGGAGAAATCCAATCATCACTGCTGGCTGTGAGGTTGTCATGGTGACAGGCTGTGTCACTGATCAGGTATCAGGTCATCCCCGCTGAGTCAGCACACAGCATCTGAAAAAACACACACACACACACACACACCTGCTTCTACATCTGACCAGAGATGCTAGCAAAGGTTCTGATCAGCGACTACCATTAAAGGTCACACCAGCCAACCAGTGTTCCTGAATGTTTATGTGTCTGCTGCAGGGGATGACACACTTCTCACATAAACATCCAACACTGTCAAACCCGGCGTGTCGAATACCGAAGCACTGTCAAGTACCTCTGACATCCACTTGACATGGCCAGGGTCCTCTGTCGAGAACAGCGTTCAACGCTCAGAGGAACAGCTCAAGGCTTTTAGTGTCGTAGTACACAAAGGGAGAAAGTCAGCATCAGGGTGGACCAGTGGGTCAGACAAACACTTTTCCCACAGGAGAGAGGTGTTCGAGTCCAGAGTTCCATGTGATTTTTAATCAGTAAGCGTTTTTAACCCAAATCCCAACCATGTAGTTTGATACCTAATTCTAAGCCTGTACTCCAAGCGCCCGACTGTAACATCTACTTTTAGGGCCTAAATCTGACCACAAACTGTGTGTGTGTAAAGGTACCTGTGTACTCATGCAGTCACTACGCAAAAGCATTTTAAA